AATTCCACTCAATGAAAAAAATGATGACGAACATACGCGTGAAGTTGACTTCACAGGTGGAAAAATCGTGTAAAGATAATACAAGATTTCTCCGACAGTTTGTACTATCATAGTAGGAAGCCTTATGACTTCCTCAGTTTTACTAAGATATCATCAAGATCTTCTTGTTACATTATCACTTTGAACTGTGATATATCCTCTCTTGATTTCGTCGGCTATTTCCATTTTTTGAACACCTTTACCCATTTTACTATGCTTAAATTATCTAAAATTTTATTTGCTTCTAGTCCTAATTTTCTTTTAATCAGCTGATGTTATTGAACATATCTAATCAAAAGTAAGTTTCTTGTAGTTTAATTATGTATTTCTTCATTTAAGATTAGATAATCGAACGCATTGAAAACAATTAAATTTTTGTTTAATTTTTTTTTCTTTTTGATTTATGTTTTATGAGCATATAATCGTGTTTGGATTTAGATTTTGTCATTTTTATTAACTAAATATATTTGTACAATTCAAAATACAAAAAGCTTCCTTTAGAAAACAAGTCGATAGAAATCGAAAATAGAGAAAAATCAGATACATGATGTTACATGAAACTTTGGAAGTTCATACATGAATATTATCAAATCGATTTACATATAACATTCTTGTCATTAGACTCTTTCTCTACTATTAAATTAAAATCCATTATACGTATTTCATAATTTATATAAAACACCAAGACACTTTCTACACAATTTGTTTTCTCATGTGTTTGATGACGCACAAACTTTAAGATGTGTCTATATCGCATGACTTTCTTTCCATAGACAAACCGCTTAAGTGTTTGTATGTTTCATGAGCATAAAATAAGCAATTCATGCGTTGATTTTAAGAAAATTATATAATTGAGTACATTCGAATGATTGGTTAGAATAAAATAAGCACAATTTTCTTGTCAAAACATGAATAATGACTCTTGATTTTTGGGATTTTCAAATGTAATAAAATGTTGGTATATCTTTTTTATTCTTTTCGAAGTCTATGTCAATTATACAGTCAATTTTTATTACAAATTCACTTCTTTTTAACTTTAACTAAAAGAAAAAAAAAGATAAAACATATAAATTCCTATTAAAACTTGTCTCAAAGATAATTATTAACGTTATTATTACAGTTCAGAATAGAAGAAATTGATGTTGTCGGATCCTTGGCTCTTTAATAAATGATTTCTTCGAGATTACCATTACACTTGTCATATCAAACAAATTCTTAATATGCACATGTTGCTTATCGAGGAGGAAAAATAATTACTAAACTATAGAGTATGTTTCATTTCTCTCCATCCTGTTGGTATATATGTACCTAAAATAATGCTACCTAAATTACCTGTGACTAGAATCCATTTATAATGACTAGCGGAGATATACGAGTAAAAAACTCTGATATACAACATATCAATTATTAACAATACTTTTCATCTTCTGTTTTCCTAATATAAAAGCTACTGTTACTTCATGCGTATATTTAATCACATGTAAGAACATGTTGAGACATCTTATAACAGCTCAGTGTCACACGAGATTGTTCAAACGAGTTTCTGCAAATTTGATTTCAATCATTTGTATTACAATTGTGTCATCTACTGATTTTTTTGCCGCAGACGGCAGCTTGATAGCTGAAGTTGCTGATAAGATATTCAAGTTTTAGTAGGATATCCTTGCTTTTCAGCTGACTATGTTGATTTCAATAGTATCTAGTGAGACGGGCGTGCCATTTTCAATTGATCTGCTACAGAATTTTGAGAATTGTAACATATATATAATTCGGCTTGTGATACAATTCAAAGTAGCTCCAAGCTCTAGATTTCGTTCCATATAGTCGAGTTATAGATGCCACTAGTGGCCCAATTTCATCATTGAATATTCGCTCCCTAACCAACTCTTTGAAGCTGAAATTATTACAATAAATACTGATTTCATGGAGCTACATAGTGATAAGAAAAAGACTTTGGCTTCTGAAACAGACCTCGAGATACTCAACATTGACCAAAACTTAACGTTTTTTTATCGTGTTTTCATATAAAAACGTTGTCATATTTTTTTTATACTGAAGCTAATGATAATATCGAATAAAAGTTTATACTTTGAGTGAGAAAGTGTAGTATCTTTATATCACAGATCTAAAATTAGTATTATCATAAAAGTTCTTATTATAATATTCCTTTTTGATTTGAATTGAAACATTTATAGAATAATAATTCATTTCAAAAGTGTCACAGAAAACCAAGCTCTCAAATTGATGACTATGTTTAAAAAAAAACCTATGCTGAAAAATGAAAATTTTCTAAAATTAAACTAGATGCAGATTGTGAATATTCCAATAATAAATCGTTTCATGACATCCGTGGTGTTGGCAATATTTTGTAATCATTTCGATAGCATTCCTTACAAAATAACAGTCTTAGGTCTCTTGTTAATTGATAATTTTTACATAGATATTGAAAAAAAATCTGAAATGGTTTGGTATGATAATATGTGTTATCTATTGATATCGTAGAAAGTTCATTCGTAAAGTTTTATCGATAACGTTTATTTCATAAAAATATTTTCGTTTTATTTCTAAAGTAGAATTGCATAAAATGTTTTACTTATACATTTACTTTTAGTCAAAAGTAAAAATCTACATATCAGTTCCTGCAAAAATAAGTTGAACAAACGTTTCCATCAGAAATATACTCTGATCATAGTAGATCATTTACAGTAAATATTCCATTTCTAAAATTTGTGTACTTATTGCTGTATTTCATTGGAAAAAAAATCATATCTCATGTGTATTTCATCTGAAATTGATCAAACATCATTAGAACTTGGTGATTTGACAGCTCTATATAGATTACATAGGAATACGAATTATAGATTAAAGAATACAACATTTTAATGAATTTATAGTTGAGTCTGATAGGCTAGAGCAGCAGATATATGTATTAGATACCTTGTAAGCCTTCATTAATCACTTCTGTATACTGAGAAAAGATAAAAGCGACAGTGCATTTTGGAAAAATGTGCTAGAATTATGCAGTTCGACAACATTCTATTGGCAAATCCTATTATTAGAGATAAAAGTCTTGTTCTTTGTTTTTGAACCATTAGACACATAATCGAATATTGAGTTTCATAATATGCATTGAGATGCAAAACTTTTGTTTTTTGTTAATATTCTAAATTTGTTCACTATTGATCAAAGAATATATTGTTCACACTTATTGAAAATGTTTCAAACATTGAAATTATTATGATGAGTGAACGAATTGTGCTTGATTAGTTTTATCATTATCAAAAGCGTTGAAGCTAAAAAAGAAATCTCAACTTGTTTCTTTCTCACTTCTTTCTTTATATGTATGTTTTTCCCCACCTTCTAAACGTGTCTATGTTTTTCTTCTCTTTTCAACACAATCACCGATATTAACCAACACTCGAATAGCAGTAGAAAAGTGTTGTTAGTAGTCATTTTTCATTGCTTCGTATTCTTTTGTCTATCGTTCATATCCTATCGTCGTCCATGTGTATACATGTACTCGCGTTCCCTTGTTGTATTTGACATATATATTCATGAGATGGTGTTCCTATATATGTATATTGGAGGCATAGAGATGAATGAACATGTGATGAACAAATTTTCTCTTTTATTCTTCCTTCTCTATTTCTCTTTCGTTTGCTGGCCGATAAACGAACAACAACGGTGGACGCGAGAAGAGTGAGAGCGAACAAATCGCCTTCGCCGCCGCTGTTTTGTTTGTTCTCAGGATCAACACAAAAGCGCGCAACGTTGTACAGTATAAAGGCGAACTGAAGGTCAGCGCACGCGAGAAAGAATGAGAGAATGTACGTTGGTCAGTTTTGATGGGTGGCCGCGGCTTCTCTTTCTCTCTCTCTCTCTCTGTCTCTCTGTCTCTCTGTCTGCCTTTTTTCCTCTTTCAGTAATACAACACGAAGGCCATTGGATTGCCGTTCAAAGTGAACACGCCGCTCTGCTGTCCATAGCTCCGCCCGTTAGTGTCACAAATATTCAAAGATACGATTCAACATACAGAAAAAAAAACGATTCACACTTCCATCGTACGTACAATATAAATAGATAATTTAATTGTTTTCGCTTCGTTTTATTTCAATTCATACACATATTAGATATGTTTTTGTTCTTATAGAAGAATTTTTTTGTTTATTATATATGTGTTTATGTTCTTCGCTCGAAGACTAACCTTGTATCTTTTCTTTTCTATTATGAAAGGGAAAATACAATCACGACAAATATATATATATATATTGAAGAAGAAAAAAAAAAGAAAAACTCGATGACTATGATCATCATCACCTCTCTTTACTCGATCAATCACAAAATATAACGTCCCGATGGGTGTTCATCGCACTAGGAGAAAAATAAGATTTACGAGCAGTCGATGTCTATTACACCATCAATATCGGTCATTACTTAAGTTAGCCTTTTGTTAGAAGAAAACTATTATATATATATATAATATATATAATCAAAGATTTCAAAAGTTCCATATATTTTTCAATATCTTCTTCGTTTAATTTAATATTTTAATAAGAATAACTGATTACCAAACGAATACGTTGTAAAACTTCCATCAAAGAACAATAGATAATAATTTTTTATCTGAAATACTGTCTTTTCAATAGAGTATCTCATATTATGTTTTTTTGTTTTTCTCAAAACTTTATAAAAAAACCGGTAGATAGAACGCGGAACAATATATTCTTCCTGTTTGAAGTTAAACCGACTACAACAGAAAGCCTTTCACTTTACATAAAAGACAAGAAAAAGAAATACCGACCAACAAAGAAGTTGATGCGCATAATTGATCTCTGCTCATACTCATTCATTTTAATCTCATTTTCTTCGTTCTATTACTTAGTGTTTTATACTTGCTTTTCGTACCTGACAATCATAAATAAGTACATACATCGGATGACAGTCAAAAAGTACAAGTGACCATGCCGACAAATATACTTTTGGCTCCGACAAAAATGGTAAGTTTTAATATATATATCTATATATCTATAGTGTATGTAATAATTTTCTTTCCCTCTTTTTCTCTATATTTTTTTTATGAAAAAAACACATCGAGGAAAAACATAGAGTGAGAACCAGAGAGCGAAAGAGAGAGAGAGAGAGAGAAAACGATGCCGCTCTCTGACTAAGTCTCTTTCGCTCTCTTTGTTCATTTGTTCAACTAAAGTCGTCTATAGGTCTCCTTTTACTTTCTATCAAAAAGTCCGCCTGCTTTGTTGTTTAGCCGGGTAAAACTGATTTATCATCATCAACTACAACACTCGATCTTTCTATTAAATCATCATCTATTAAACTATCTAAATCACCTGAACGACAAATGTCAACATCGTCATCTTCATCATCATCATCATCATCATCATCATCAACAACAACAACAACAGCAACAGTACAAAAGTCTTTATCACCATCGAAAATACCGACACCAACAACTGATCCAGGTGGTGGTTCAACAATAGATAGTGATGAAGTAAAAGTATTTGGCTGTGAAAAACATGAAGAAGATGTTGATATTGATGGTGATGCTAATAGCGATCGACTTTCACCCGTTATTAAAGAAGAAGAAGTAAGATATATTGTTTTCAAAATAATATATTTACATATTTTAAATTATAGTCATCACCACAACAAGGATCATCGACTAGTCTTGGTAGTAAATATTTCTTTTTATTTTTCATTTAATAGTATATATATATATATATTTGTATTTTACAGATCGTTTGAACAGTGAACATCAATTCCATAGTTTTTTTCCATATTTTATTTCTCCGTATTATCATGCAGCAGCAGCAGCTAGTAGTGCAACATCACCTTTTGTAAGTTATATGATCGATTAAAAACTTTTTTTTTCTTGAAAGCTATTATTCGAACACATATTCGATGATCGAAAGCAGGTGTCCGATAGATAGGATGATTGCGTGTAGTACCACCCTCACACAAATTCAATATTATATATGATCGATCAATAATTTTCCCCTCTCTCTCTCTTCATGATGATCTACGAAAGAAAAATCATTAGCAATCGATTGTATGTGTTAGAATTGCTTCCACTTCAGATTGATCGCGCGGGACAGACGGACAAGATTTATCTCTTGACTGTTTCTAATTAACATTTGCGCAGCTCTTCTTCCTCATTCTACTAGTGTAGATGATTAGAATAAGAGAGCAAGCAAAGCGGTTGCAAGCTAATTCGTCATTGTAACGAGACAAGACCGGAACATGACCGATCTACCTTGTCTGTCTATATGATGGAAATGATCTGATTAGCCTGAAATCAAGACGATGAGTTGTTCTTTGTTTGTACTACATAGTAAATACAAAAAAAAATGGAAAAAAATAGTTAATTGTATACTATTAGAAAAATTGTTCGTTGGAAAAAAAAAGGGAGAGAGAAAGAGAAGGAGGAGTCAGAAAATTAATCGAGTGAATGTTTTTAATATGTCCGCTTTGGATATGAACAGTAAAGATCAAGAGCTGATTATGCACGAATGAACAAAAGTGATTATTTGAGATTAAAAATTTCAGTTGTTTCATTAGAATATCCTTAACAAAAAAAACAAATTTCAATATTAATTTAATTGTTTTGATATTTGTTCAAATTTTATTTTTCTGGTCTTATCTTCTTTACAGGATAAAATGGCTCCATTAGGTTCTTTATCAAAATTCATGTCGCCACCTCCTGCTCATATATCTAGTGCCAATTTATGCATTGATCCAAGTACAGGTAAGCAAACCAATCTTTTATTCGCGAAAACGTTCTCATTGACTTTTTTCCCAACTCATAATAAATGTGTATATATATATATTCTCTAATTGTTTAATGATGAGGTGAAGTTGTTCGCACTCGAGCTCTTCACATACCTTGATATGTAGAAGAGTAGAGAATAAAAAAAAAAAAAAGGAGAAAAAAAAGAAGTTAGTCATTTATTATAAATTTTTCATGACGTTGTTCTTTAAAACAAATGCCTTTGCAATATACATGTCAGTGACACTCGGCAAATAGATGCGAATCAATTACTAGTCAACTTTCGTCCGTCACTATAAACTAGGAAGCCGAGAGGGCGATGCAATGAAAGAAGGAAAAGGAAATACATTTAGTACTTCATTAAATAAATCTTTCTTTCTTTCTTTTTCTCATCATCGTTCGTACGTCTCGAGTCTTCTCCGAAAATCGATCAATCGCAATTGAGTATTGAAAAATACGAGAAAAAGGTGGGCAAATACAAGCAAACAAGCAAATGTGTGCGCGCAATCGTTCATGCGATACTAATCGATATACATGTCGAACGACGACATGTAACAAAGTGGAAAATGATCTTATTAACGAGACACAAGACAATGAATGAGAACGAAAGAATAAAAGAGAATGTTCAATGTGATGTGTCAGAGCATTCATTGTACCGACTAGAATCTCAATGTAATAATCAATGTTATAATTACACAATATAAAAATGAACATAATAGTTTTCTATTTTTGACTACAATAAAAGAATCTAAAAAAAAAAAGAGTTTATGTTCATATTATTTTATTCTTTATCTCTATATATGATAAATCTTTCAATACTCGGCAGCTTAAAAAAGAAAAGAAAGTTAATAAATGTGACATTTGTACTTTCGTTGAATAAAAGATTTTGTTATTAATCTTCTATAATAACAGCAATATATTATTAATGATTAAAAAACAAAGAATCATTGTTTATTCTTTAATAAATTAAGTCTTTTACAAATGAAAACAATTCATACCTATTGCACTTAAAAGTTTTTTTTTACTTTGATCTAAATTAACATATATTTATTTGCATTATTTATATATTTTTCTCTTTTGAATGGTATATCAACTAAAATGAAATGTATAATAGGTCAATAGAAAAAAACAAATTTTTTTTTCTTTGTTTGTTTATTTGTAAGAAACTAAAAATATTATTTAAACTTTATAAGAGACAAGAGATAGAGTTGTATAATAATAGCTTACGCAGCTAATCAATAATCATGTCAACATTAGTTTCATATCTTATCAAGATAAAAGTTAAAAGGAGGAAACTTTATCTTGAGTATAGCTACCAATTAAATCATTGTCCTTATAATATATATTGATGATTTTTCCTTGTATAGAATGAATTGTTTTGTTGAAATTTTCGAGAAACTAGTACGATTACGACATCAATGTATTATTTAAATCTAACGAACATATTCGTTTTTTTACATGAATATTAATTTCTATACATATTTACCTAATTTAGGTGTACCTAATTCAATGTATTCATTATCATCACCATCTTCTTTTCAATCACTTTATGCTCAACATTGGTTTGTTTATTCTTTAATAAATTTTTAAATATTTATTTATTTTTTTTCTTAACTTCAGGCGTCCACCTATGTTTCCATTTGTATTTCCACCTGGATATCCATTTTCTGCAGGTGTTCTCTCTCAAGGTTCATCATCACCACATACAACCAGTGGACATTCATCATCAATAATAACTCATAACAATAGTCCATTATCACAAAAACGATCAACAACACATAGGTATATTTAGATGCAAAAAATAATCTATTTCATTTTTATATTTTTATTGATTTTAATATAAGATCTATGGATAATAGTTCACAACATCATCATCAACAACAACATCATAAACTTTCAATGTCTCACGATGATAATAAACAAAAAAAACCTCATATTAAAAAACCATTGAATGCTTTTATGTTATTTATGAAAGAACAACGAGCTCAAGTTGTACAAGAATGTACATTACGTGAGAGTGCAGCAATAAATCAAATTCTTGGTCGAAAAGTATAATTGCATAAAGAAAATTTTCTAATAGATAATCAAAAAAGAAAAAAAAATTTGATTTTTTTTTTTCTTTAGTGGCATGAACTTGATCGTAATGTTCAACAAAAATATTATGATATGGCACGTGATGAACGTATGAAACATATGCAATTGTATCCAGGATGGTCAGCTCGAGATAATTATGGTTCAAGAAAAAAACGTGGAAATAAAGGAAAAAAACGAGAAAAGAGTCAAGGTGAAAATGGAGGTAATGAAAATTTTTGTTTTTTTTTTTAAATTAAATGTTGTTTTCTTTTTTATTTTTATTTAGAATGTCTTAATCAGAAAAAATGTCGTGCAAGATTTGGTCTTGATCAACAATCGAATTGGTGTAAACATTGCAAGTATGTATTAATTAAAATATAATAAAAAGACATTGTAAAATTTTTCTTTTCTTTTTTTTTTCTAGACGAAAGAAAAAATGTCTTCGTTATACAGAAGATGAAACAGCTTGTGCAGGACCTAATTCAGTTGGTGGTGGTCCATGGAGTGAAGAAGATGATGCTGATAATATTGATGATTCAGATGATGGTATTGATCATTGTGATATACCAATGATGGAACATCCTGAAGAAAGAAATACAAATGAAGGTAATCATTCACCTCATCATGGTTCTATATCGATTGATTCAGATGAAGAAAATAAATCACGTATATTAATACATCAACAACCACCAAATTCAAATGGTAGTGGTTCATCTTCATCAACAAATGGAACTGTACCAATGGCTATGATGACAACAGCAACATCAAGAAAAGATTCATCATCATCATCGTCATCACCACAAACTTCTTTTCTTCATCATTCTCATCATCGATATCCAATAGCACCGCCAGGAACTCATTTTTCTCCTCATCCTCATCCTCATCCTCATCCTCATCATCATCCTTATTTTGATTCATTTTTACAACCAACACCGATGCCTCTTTTAAACGGACTTAAACGAGAGACATAGTTTATTTATATTTTAGTCTTTATTTCTGTCTCTCGCCTTTTTTTCTTCTTTCTAGTCAGTATCCGAGGTGATCGATCTGGTTGCAATACATGTATAATCTCTTCTTTACCATTCATTTTTTTTTTCAATTTGTATCTTTATTTTTTCCGCATTCAAACCTTTGTTCATTATAGATTTCTCTCATTTTCCATGTTATACATGCATCATATTCTGACTCTTTAAACGTTTGTATATGTAAATCACTTTCGTTTTTTTTTTGTTTCTTGTGGACGATACGTACAGAGTTCATATTTAATGAAGAAGAAAAAAAAAAAGAAACAATGGATAATCGGTCATCTTATAGTATCACATTACAAACATGTGTATTTGTGTAAGGATCAAATAGAAAATTGCTAGGATGATCAGTAGCTGATTTTCTTTATTGTTTGTCATCAGAATAGATTATCAGATGAAAACGTATTATTTTGCTCTATGGAAGTTTTGATTTAGGTAGAAGATAACAATAAAATGTAAATTTGCTATTTCATCATGAAAAGCTTTTAAGATGAAATGTTTATCAAAATATGTTTGCTGCAAAAGAATGATCATTATTTTCGAATAAAATAATAAAATTGATATATTATAACAGATAGATATCTTCATGGAAATCAGATCTTATATAAGAGAAATATTCATCAAATAGGTATCATGTATAGATTTTTATTCAATAGTTTTCTAAGACAAATAAAATGCTATAAACATAGAATCGTAGACCATGAGTTCTCTTTAATGAATGTATGAATAAAATTAATGTTATTTGATTGAAAGTTTAACATTATTGGCTATTGAGTTAAAAAATTAAACGCTTGATTCGCTCACATTATTAAAGCAGTTACTTTCAAAAATAAAATGTACAGCACTTTTAGGCCGCTCTCTAGAGCCTATCGAGTTAGACTCGAACCCGACGATGTGTAGGGTGCGCCAATCATCGAATACAAAAAACTCGAAAAAAGTATCTTGTATCTTCGGGACGACTATCCAATTCTCATTAGACAGTTTCGTTGAGAGTATCAAAGTACGCTTCTACCGGGTGCGTGTCGATAAAGTACATAAGATTTCTATGGGACTTTCTCTAAATGTTAGAATCATAAAAGTAAAGTCACGAAACATTTGATAGGTCTGCAAACTTCATTGTTCAAGAGTTTTCTAGAAATTACAGTGTAAAGTGAATCTTTCACGTGTGCAAATTTTTTCAATATACTTCTCCAGCTATGAAACTCAGAGTATTGTCTAGTTAACAGAGAGCTCTGTATTATTTGATATGAGAGAAAGGACTTTTTTAAATTTCTGATTAATTTTCGTCTTAGAAAGTTAAAATCTTGATTGTTGGAAAACCTATTACGTCTCTATTTGTTGGAGTTTAATTGAAAAATTCTTTTTCCTCATGTGAAGTAAAATGTACGATGCTATCAAATACAAGAACTTGCAATTCTCTAGAGCAAAACATATTGAAAATATATTTACTTAGAGATGTACCGTTGATACAAAAATCAATTGTGAAAAAGACGTAAAAATTTTTTTTTTCTGCATTTAATCAATCTGTCATTAGACATCAACATGAAATATAGCAGTGTCATGTATCGATTGTAAAACATTAATCAAGATGCATGGAATTGTGCTTTAAACTACGCGCATATAGTTAATAACAAATGGAGTTGCTTTAGATTTTTCTTCGATTTTTATCTAGACTCACTTCAGAAATTTTTAGCAAATATTTTCGAAATGTTTCAAAAATTGCCGAATAGTTTTATAAATTTTAAAACTAGACGTTTCATTCAATATTTTTGTATGTTTGTATCAAAAATCATTCGTGTTGAAAGACAATAGACTTTTTTTGAAAGATGATAGTCTAAGAGATGTCAGCTTATTGCTAAAAATAGAAATTCATTGCATAGTATATAGAACGAAAAAACAAAATCCGCGGCTTTTTTAAAAATTATACAAATAAGATCATTTCTTTGGATTACAATCAATACTGTTTATCTATTATATAATAATATACAAAGATAAAATAAACTAGTAATAGTAAAAATTTTCGAGTTGTCTTATGATATAAACTTGTATTAAATCACAACTGATGATTTTTTTTATTTTAAATTCAATGTTAAAAAGAGAAAACTAAGTTATATTGAAAGATGAATTTAATATTGCAATGTAATGTCAAGAGAAATTGGTTTAATTTGTTGTTTTTGTTGTACAGAAGATGATTGTTTTGATGATGAACGATTTTCTAAATTACTCATATTTAAACGAATTTGCTTCAATTCTTCTTCCAAAAGATGACATTCATTTTCAGCTTGTTGTCGAAGCTATAATAAAACAAAAAACAAAAAGAAAATAATAATTTTGTTATTTTAACATATTTCATTATACTTTTGTACTGTTATTCAAACGAATTTTAGCTTGTTCAAGTTCAGTATTTGTATCTGATTGATCATTCTAAAACAAAAAAAAAAAGAAGATATATGAATATGATTATAGATATTGAATTAATCTATATTTTTATATTCAGACCAATGTTATTCGACCACGTTCTTCAAGTGCAGCTGTTTTTTTCTTTTCAATAAGATATTTTTGTTTCCATAAATCTCTTTCTAAAAAATAGTAAACAAAAAATTAAATTAGAAAAATAGAAGAAACAATAAATATATTGATTTAACCTTCTGTTCGACGAACAGCAATTTGAGCATGTAATTGTTGCATTTGACGAATAATTGTTTCACGAGCTGCTTCTAATGCAACACGTTTTGTTTTTAATTCTTCAAGGTGATTTGAAAGTTTTACAACTATAAAAATATGAATATATATATATATATATCAAATCATTGTCTCTAAGAAAATCAATCTTTTGATTTACCATCATGAGCATTGAGTTCTTCAATATGTTCTTCTTCAGCTTTACGACGAGCTAATTCACGTGCTTCTTTTTGTAAACGTTCAATTTCATTAGCAGCATGTCTGAAAGAAGAAAAGCCAAAAGACTGATTGACATCAGATTTTTTTCTCTTGATATTTTCGCTTTTAATAGAAGATGATGCTGACCATTGATGTTCATTTCGCCATTTTCGATATCTATCTAACGGTGTTGAATATACATTTCTCTCTTCAATCGACGATGATATTCGTCGTTTATCTGGTTCTGGTGACCACAATCCTCGATCATTAATAAAATTCGATATTCTGAAACGCATGTTTATATATATATTTCGATTCTTTTTTTTTCTGTCTTCTTTCTATCGAAAATGCACTGAGAAAGGTACAATAGCATCAATAACAACAACTAGTCAAAACAACATTAATTCATGCATTGTCATTATTCAATATTTTGTTGTTGTCGTTTACGATGTTTTCGGTAGGCTCGTTGGATGGTTCGTGCGGCTTCATCATCTCTGTGAAGGGAATAATACTTATTGTGAATTATTTATATGTAATAAGTATATATCGATATATGAGAGTGAGAAATGTGAGTATTGTGTAAATATAAAAAGGTGTAAGACAAGCACAATTGATGTTGATATGTGCTTCATTTCAAAAGTGATGGCACATTCATCATCAACAAAAACAATCGAATAAAATATGTGAAAAAAAGAATGATTACTGATACAACCTTTGATTATCATGATGTACAATGTCTTCATTGCTGAATTATGTAAGATGTATTTTATATACTTTCAAATTATTAATCGAAGAAACGAAAAAAAAAACAAATAATATAAATAATAATAACTTACTCTTGTTGTTTTTTTTCTTTTAATTTACGTCGATTTCGATAATTTCGATAAGCTCCTTGAATTCGAATAGCTGCTTGTTCTTCTTCTTTTTGTCGTTGTTCTCGAGATAGATTTTTTTGTTTTTCAAGTAATTCTTTTTCACGTTTTTGTTGTTCTCGTTCAATTTCATGTTGTTGTTCTTGAGCTAGATTTTTTTGTTTTTCAAGTAATTCTTTTTCACGTTTTTGTTGTTCTTGTTCGATTTCATGTTGTTGTTGTTCTTGAGATAGATTTTTTTGTTTTTCAAGTAATTCTTTTTCACGTCTTTTTTGTTCTTGTTCGATTTCATGTCGTTGTCGAGCTAATTCAATTTGACGTAAACGAAGACGTTCTTGTTCTTCACGTAATTTTGCTAATTCTCTACAATAATAAATATTCAATATAGTATGAAATTATAAATTTTATTTTATTAGTAAAGAAATATTCTACCTGGCACTAAGTATACTCGAAGCTGTTGAAAGACTTTCATAAAAGATAAGAAAAGAAAAAAAAGAAATTTTTCCACATATATTCTTTTGTTTTTTTTTTTTATTCATTGTTTGATGTTTACTTTGAATCTGAAGAAACAGCAAGGTCATTAAAATTTGTTGAATTTTTTCGTTCACTAGAATGAACAAATGTCCGATATGTTAATGTCGATGGTGGTAATAGTGGAGCAGCAATCGGTTTGTTCCAACTTTGTTGACGACTTGTAGTCAATGGTAATGGACTCATTAATGATCGATGAATAGGTGATTCACGAAAAAGATAACTTTTTGTATTAGTTGGTGTTGAAGATTCATCATCATGATGTCCTTCGAGAATAAAAATCTAAAAGAATTGATTAATTTTTATTTCAATTTAAAAAAGAAAAAGACAAATGTCTTTACTTCCGGTGCAAATGTCTAAAATATAGAAATAAATTTAACTATAGCACCTAAGATATGATATGAAACATTACGAACCATTGGTGGTCGATAATTTTTCACTCGTAGATCTGTTTCTTGTTGAGGTTTTACCTAAAACAAAATATGATATATATTTTTTTGTTATCATTTTTTTTTTTTTTTGTATAATTTATACTTTAGTTAAACATCGACCAACACTTCGTAGATAAATAAAATCTTTTGGAAATTGATCATCTTGTCCACAAATTTTATGAATATATTGACGAAGTTCATGTATAGTTAAATTTTGTGGTACACTTTCAAA